CTGATTCATACTTTTTCTTCTAATAGGAGTACACCCTTTTTAACATAGCAGAAAAATAATAAAAATGAAATAATCTCTAATAATTAGTCTATCCCTAAAAATTAGTAATTAGATTATGGCTAATATTTACAAGGAAATTCCTAAAACAAAGGTAGAGAATCTCCTTAATTTAAGGATTTCCAACACTCCCCCTCAAGCTGGAGTGTAGATGTCAATCGAACCTAGCTTGCCCATAATTTCTTCGAACATTTTTCTGCTCAAGCTCTTGGTTAACACATCTGCTACTTGTTGTCGAGTAGGTAGATATGAAACACAAACTTCCCCTTTGTTAATTTTCTCCGTAATAAAGTGGCGATCAATTTCCACATGCTTGGTGCGGTCATGGTGTACAAGGTTGTGAGCTATACTATGCTCCTATCTGGTTTAAATTTCGTAGTGAAAATTCACTTACAACCCACTGTCTTCTTCCCGGTAGGTAGTTTAGATATTTCCCACGTTTTATTGTCTTCAAGAGCCTTTATTTCTTCCAACAAGGCTTGCTTCCATTTGGTTGACTTAAGAGCCTCTTCTATGTTCTTTGGAGTTTCTACAGGGTCAATATTAGAAATAAAGGCATTGTAAGATTTAGACAAGTTCCCATAGGATACAAACCGAGAAATGGGATATTGAGTGCAACTTCTAGTGCCCTTTCTTACTGCAATTGGACGATAAATGGAAGGCGAAGGAGGAGAAACTTCATCCTCAGGACAATCCTCGGGTAAAGATGGCATTGGCACTGCTGTTTCAGTTTCTGGAAGCTAATGTTTCTGAGAGTACACACAAAGCTAATGTTTTTTAGAGTACACACGAAGCTGCTGAATTTTTTCTTCTTGTTTTTCAAGAGGAGAGGGTTGTTTTTCTTCATTTGTATAGTTAATCACCCTTGTTTCTTGTTGCTGCACAGTGGAGTCGAGTAAAACGGGGTCCAAATCAGGAATTACAGTGGTTGTAAGATTTTAAGCAGTGGCTGTAGGAATTTCAGCAATGGCTGTAGGAATTTCAGCAGGTTTTGTAGTGGTGGTAGGACTAATAGGATCTTGAGGTATAATGAGAAGGTTGTTCAAGGTCTCATCTTCACTAAATATCTCCCCCTGAAGATGAGAGGCTGAAAAATATGGCTCGTTTTTGAAGAAAGTAACATCAAGGGACACAAACATTCGGTGTAGGGTTGGAGAATAACACTTGTACTCCTTTTGTGTAGGTGAGTATCCGAGAAAGACACAAGTGTGGGCTCTAGGATCAAGTTTAGATCGGTGATTGTGGACAAATGCTTTGCAACCGAAAGTTTTGGTTGGGAGATTAGAAACACGAAATAAGGGGAAAAAAATTTTGAAGAGTATGTAAAGGTGTTTGAAAGTTTAATACTTTTAATGGGAGTCAGTTTATAAGATAACAAACAGTGAGAACAGCTTCTCCCCATAAATACTTCGGTACACCCATAGTAAACATAAGAACACGAGCCAGGGCTACAAGGTGTATGCTTTTCCTCTCGGAAACTCTGATTTGTTGAGGGGTGTTGGGACAAGAACTCTGATGTATGATTCCTTACTCAGAAAGATAAAGGCTTAGGATAGAATTAAAGTACTCTCTCCCATTATCAATTCTAAGGGTGTAAATTTTGGAATTGAACTAAGTTCGAATCATTGAGTGAAAACTTTGGAAGACTCTAGAGACTTCGATTTTTTCTTTGAGGAGATAGACCCAACGAACTCTAGTGTGGTCATCAATGAATGTTATGACCCACCTACCCCTGTGACATTTTTTATTCGACTGGCTCCTCATAGATCACTGTGGATTAAAGAGAAAGGTTGAGATTGAACATAAGGTTTCAAAGGATAAGGGACACGGGTATGTTAAGACAGTTGGCAAACTTCACAATTAAAGGAACTTATTTTCTTATTTAGGAATAGTAGAGGAAACAGTTTCTTCAAGTACATAAAATTAGGGTGTCCTAGTCTACGATGCCATAGCATGATAGATTCTTCTTTCGATGTAGATAAGGCCATCCTTTCTTGTGAACTGTTTTTATTCCAAATATATAAGCCATCATCAACTTTAGCAGTGCCAATCATCTTCCCCGATTCCTGTTCCTGAACCACACAACCGAAAGCAGAAAATTCAGCAAGTACTTTCTCATCCTTGGTAAGCTTGCTAATTGAGAGTAAATTACAAAAAAGATTTGGAACATATAAAACTTTATCAATGGAAAATTTTTCAGTAAGTCTGATTGTTCCAATTCCAGCCACCGGCGAGTAAGATCCATCAGCTATGCGAATCCGGGAGTGATCATGACAAGGTAAATATGTATGAAACAAACTTAGATTACCTGTCATGTGGTTGGATGCACCCGAATCTAGTATCCAGATGGGTTCATGTGTACTATTTACGGCAGTACCTTGAATAGCTAGTGACCCACTGGTTGTAGGAGTCCCGAGGAGTTTATGAAGAGCCTCAAGTTGAGTTTTGGTTAGCCGAACATCCTGGGCATCTTCTTCAATAGTATATATCATTGATGTCTTGTTTTCTTTTTGATTTGTTCCAGGATAACCATGGAGTTTAAAGCATTTCTCCGTGGTATGTCCAACCTGGTTACAGTGGCTACACCATGGCCTATTTGAACTGGAATCAATTCCAGCCTTGTACCTTTGAGATTGTGAGCCTTTCGAAAAAGGGCAATGTTCTCGGAAGGACGATGACCAGCTGTGGTCAAAGGTTTTAGTTCTCTTGTGTCTCCCAACATAATAAGACGTCGTTTCTCTACCCTCCTTACTTCAGTAAATGCTTCTCCAATGGTTAGTAGTGTGGTTCTGCCTAGTATTCGTCCTCGGACCTCATCAAGATCACGATTTAGTCCTGCTAGGAACTCATAGAGATGCTCTTTGTTAATATGATCCATGAACTTGGTGTGTTCTGAGCCCTCGCCCCAATCAGCTTCATAATACATGTTCAACTTCTACCGTAAGATCTTTAGGTTGTTGTAATATTGAGTGACTTCAAGTGCTGCTTGCCGAATATCTTTCAACTTTAATTTGATCTCGAATACTTGGGAAGCATTTCCAAGATCCGAGTAATTCTCCTTAATTGCATCCCAAATTTTTTTGGTAGTTTTGAAAAAAAGGTAAGTTCTGCTTATATTACCTTCCATCGAATTTATAAGCCAAGCCATGAATATTGTGTTGTTAAGCTTACAAATTGCATAACCAAATTTTGTCGATGCTGGTCGGGGAATGTCTCCATTGATGTACCCAATTTTTCCTCGACCACGAAGAACCATAAGGACAGATTGAGACCATTGCAGGAAATTTTTTCCATCTAATCGATGGTTTGTGATTGTAAGAGAGGAGTTAAAGGTTAGTTTGAGGGATTCCTTGGCTGTGATTTTGAGTAATTTGTGAGATCTCAGTCTCAGAGAGAGTTTCATGGATATCACCCATGAGGGAAGGAAAAAAATTGTTTAGGAAGAGAGATGAGAGACAAATGAGTAGGATCGAATGAATCCTATGGCTCTCGATACCATGAACAGATTTAGGAAGAAGAAAAAGTCTTATTTTTTCTAATAGGAGTACACTCTTTTTAACATAGTAGAAAAAGAATAAAAAGAAAATAATCTCTAATAATTTGTTTATCCCTAAAAATTAGTAATTAGATTATAGCTAATATTTACAAGGAAATTCCTAGAACTAAGGTAGAGAATCTCCTTAATTTAAGGATTTCCAACAGATCATCATGCTGCCGACATCAATATGCAATAGACTAGACAGGTTAAATCGTAACTTTTTGTGGGGAGGGGACCCTGAATACGTTCACAACCATTTAGTAAGCTAGGACATGGTATGCATGCCAAAAAAGGTATGAGGGATCAGGCTTAGGAAGACAAAAGACATGAATCTCGCCTTAATGGAAAATAAGGCCGGAGAATGATTAAGGATAAAGAGGCTCTTTGGTGTAAAATATTCTAAGTATCTGAAGCAAGAAAAATTTATAGAAGTTGGGAATCCAACCAAGTGTTTGCCAACATGGAGAGGAATATTGCACATCATTTTTAGTAAAGAAAGGCTGCAGACACCAAATTCGCTACGGAGAACAAACAAACTTTTGGTTCGATTAGTGGGTTGGCAAAAGAGAGTTAATTGAATCGTATACTGAGACTATAGCTAACCAAGATGATAAGGTAGTCAATTTTATCACGGAAGATCGAGCTTGGAAACTCCATGACTACAAGATATGGTTCTGAGGGATATAGTAAACCAAATTAGAAGCATACCTCTTTCTCTGAGAGAGACGGATCGAAAAGAAGACAAAATTGTTTGGGGTTATTTCAAGGATGAAAAATTCTCAGTAAAATCAACCTTCAAAGTCATTACAAGCCTAAATCTCTTAAGCCAACAAACACAAAACTTCAATTGGATTTGGAGGGTAGTAATGACAGAGAGAATTAGAAACTTCATCCGGTTATGTGTTTTGAACAAAGTAAATACAAACGAAGTCCGGCCGAAGAAGAATATGACTCAAGACGCTAATTGCCCAATCTATCCAGAAACAACTGAAACCATCGATCACATTTTGCAACGGTGCAAAACGACAAGTTTAGTATGGAGGGAATCTAAAGCTACAAACTATGATGATAGATTTACTTCCAGAAAATTCGAAGAATGGCTAAAATGGAGTTGCCATGCCAGGAAAGATGATAAAGAAGGAATAGGTTGGGGAAACCGATTTGCTTCGACAACATAGGGGATATGGAAAGCTAGAAACGAAAAAATCTTTAACAGCAGCAATACAAGTCCAAGTCAAATTATCAGCAACAGCTACAAACTAGAAAGGGATATCACACAAGCCACAAACAACACAAGTCTAAAAATTACCCGATAACCCAAGTGGGTTAAGTGAAGACGATCACCGAGAGGAAGCTGGATCCTCAATACAGATGGCCAGATGGGGCTTGAAAATCGAGAACCGAAATGGCGGCGGTGGACGGGCTGATTAGAGATGAGAATGGGAAGTGGATCCACGGCCTCATGGTAAACATTCGAATAACCATGAGTGCTTTGGCTGAGCTATGGGGAATTTGGCAGGGAATGATCCTTGCCAAGACATTGGGAGCAAGAAACCTTATCATTGAAGCAGATGCTAAGTGGGTCATCGACGCTCTGAAGAAGGAAGAGTCTGAAGATATACAACACGAAACCATTTTCAAAGACTGTGAAGAGATGAAGAAGGAAGGTTGGGTTACCGATATTAAACATAACTGGGGAGAATGGAAGCATTGCGCTGAACGATTGGCGAACCTAACACTCGAGAGAGATGAAGGGACTCAATGGTTAGAGAAAGCTCCTGAAGAACTTTCACATTTACTCCTAGCTGATATCAACGGGGTAGAATTGCTTAGATGGTGTACTACTAAACGTTGTGGTTTTTTCCCACTTGTACAGAATAAAAAGTTATATAAACTCAAAAGCTAAGTTGACTTTTTTGTAAACCGACCTAATTCACCCAATTAATGTTTATCAAAATATATTTTTTTTTACAAAAAATACTAATAATTATAAATTTTTTACAATTAAATCAAACACGCACATGCATTTGAAAGAAAAACAAAACTTTCAAAATTATTTTGATTATATCTTTGATTAGTACGTGGTGGAATCAACCTTAGATGTCGTTGTCAATATAAATAACTTTTTTTAATTAAAAAATATAATTTTTTCTATTTTTTATCTCATATTTTTTTGTTTTGGTTTTAATAATTTTATGTTTAGGGTACGATTTTTTCTATCTTTATGATATGTATTTGTTGTTTTAATCGTTCTTGTTTATTTTTCTCAAAATGGGTTTAACATAGTTGCAACTAATCAAAGAAGAGCCTCATTTATTGTCTTATTGATTTTCTTTGTTTTGAAGTTTAGACCTTCAAAATTGATTTGAATATGTAATATGTTTTCGTAGATAGTGTTCTTATGATATTTGAATCTAATTTACGTTTTTCGGTGATCATTTAATAATTTAATTCATTGTTGTGATTTGTTTGATGTAATAGTCAGCTATATTTGTATATACATTTTGTTCGAGTTTTTTGATAAATTTTTCATATTTTCCTTATAAGATGCCAAATTCTCATATTAATAATTATAAGAAAATATTATAATTATATGTTTACTTTATAATTCTAATTTTAAAATTTTATTATAATTTTAAATATTTTTTTATAAAATTAACTATTTCTATTTAAAAAACAAAGCATTCATTTCGTGATTACTGATTAGGAGCCACATTGACAATGTTATTACTCATTTGCCCATTGTCACACAACTTCACGTTTTACAATTTCATCAAAATTTCAGCTCTTAAAATAATAAAAAAATTCTCTAAACAATAAGAATAAATAAAATTTGGCCAAAAGTTGTTATAAGTCCTTAAACTATATAAAAATTATAAACTTGTCGTTAAATTAATTTCTGCATTTTTTCAAATTTTGAAATTTTAATTTAAACCCAAATAACATGATAATTTAATTAGATTGTATGAATTAAATATGATCAAATTTAAAATAGGCTTAAATATAAAATGAGTGCACAAACTATAGTGTTTTTTACGGATAGGTGCCTAACGTTACAAACGTACCACTTTAGGTGTCTAGGTCGTTAACGGTGTTAATTTCATCTGTTAAGTGACATGTGTCACAATATGATAATTTTTATTTTTATTTTTTATTTTTTTAAAATATTAAAATTATTATTTAATTTATAAAAACCCCTAATTTCTCTTAAATTATAAAAGATCCTTAAAACCCCCAAATCATAACCCTAACTAGTCGTTGTCTTCATTTTCGGTCACGACCACCTTCGTCGATGTAGTTCTTGTTATCATCCTAGTTATACACTGCCGTAGTTGCCGCCGATTAGTTGTCAGAATCGCGTGGGATCACGATTTTCAGCTAGGGTTTGCATGATATAAAACGTCAATTCACCGTGGATCGATCAAGATTTCATACGGGTTTTGGTCGCCGAGGGGAGGTCAGGTCATGTGGAGCTTCGTCGAAAGGACGGCGGGCAGCGCACGGTTTAGGGGTTGAAATGAAGGTTTTGGTTATTTCAAAATTTTTGTGTTTTTTTAAGTATAATTTTAATTTTTTTTTAAAAATTAATAAAATTTTAAAAATTATCAAATTGTGAGACGTGTTACTTAACAAAGAAAATTAATGTTGTTGATAGCACCAGGCACTTAAAGTGGTAACGTTTGTAACGTGTGCACCAAGATCATTCAAAAAATAATTTAGGCATTTATTCGTGAAAAATATTAGGTGGCGTTTGGTTGGATTGAATCCTTGGAATTGGTGGGAACTGGAATCCAATTTCACCACTTTCCCATGTTTGGTTCAAGTTTTTCAAGAGAATTGGAATCTCTGATGGAATTCAATTCCACCAAATGAGGGAAAGTGAATTCCATCAAAAAATGGATGGAATTCAATTCCCTAGTTGGAGGGAATTGAAATTTGACCATACTACCATCATCAATCCTTTGGTAACTTATTCATATATTAAATAAATATATTTTTTTATTATTTCAGGTCGGGTCAGGTTTCTAATTCATATATTCGGGTAGGGTCGGGTCGGGTCGGGTGAAACTTTATTTTGGTCGGGTCGGATCGGGTTTTTTTAAGTGTGATATTCGGGTCGGGTCGGGTTCTGGTTTAGGGTGAAAAAAATCGGACCGACCTGAAAATATATATAATTCGGGTCGGGTCAGATTAAGTCACTGTTTTTATTAAATAAATTTTTTTTTTATTATTTTAGGTTGGGTCGGGTCGGATTTCTAATTCATATATTACGGTCGGGTCGGATGAAACTTTATTTTGTTCGAGTCGGGTCGGGTTTTTTAAGTGTGATATTCAGGTCGAGTCGGTCGGGTTTTTTTAAGTGTAATATTCGGGTCGGATCGGGTTAGGTTCGGGTTTAGGGTGAAAAAAACCGGATCGACCTGAAAATATATATAATTCGGGTCGGGTCGGATTAAGTCACTGTTTTTATTAAATAAAAATAATTTTTATTATTTCGGGTCGGGTCGGATTTCTAATTCATATATTCGGGTCGGGTTTTTTAAGTGTGATATTCGGGTCGGGTTCGGGTTTAGGGTGAAATAAACCGGACCGACCCGAAAATATATATAATTTGTGTCAGGTCGGATTAAGTCACTGTTTTTATTAAATAAAAATATTTTTTTTATTATTTCTGGTTGAGTCGGGTCGGATTTCTAATTCATATATTCGGGTCGGGTCAGATGAAACTTTATTTTGTTCGAGTCGGGTTGGGTTTTTTAAGTGTGATATTCGGGTCGATTCGGTCGGGTTTTTTTAAAAGTGATATTCGAGTCGGATCGGGTCGGGTTCGGGTTTAGGGTGAAAATAACCGGACCGACCCGAAAATATATATAATTCGGGTCGGGTCGGATTAAGTCACTTTTTTTATTAAATAAAAATAATTTTTTATTATTTCAGGTCGGGTCGGAGTTCTAATTCATATATTCGGGTCGGGTCGGATGAAACTTTATTTTGTTCGGGTCAGGTTTTTTAAGTGTGATATTCGGGTCGAGTCGGTCGGGTTTTTTTAAGTGTGATATTCGGGTCAGGTCAGGTTCGGGTTTAGGGTGAAAAAAACCGGACCGAGCCGAAAAATATATATAATTTTACCTTCTATATTTAGGAATAATTATAATAATACCCCTATATATATAATTTTTTTCAATTAAGTCAATGTTTTTATTGAATAAAATAATTTTTTTATTATTTTGAGTCGTGTCGGGTCGAGTTTCTAATTCATATATTGAATAAAAATAATTTTTGGTATATTTTTTGGTAACTAATTAACATACTCCGATTAGAATGTATCGAAATATTTCTCTATCTTTTGGTAACTTATTAACATATTTTTATTGCGATGATTTTAACTTATAATGTCTATTAGCATGATTTTTATAATTTATTAAAATGAATAATCAATCAATAAAATGAAAATTTAATTTTTTTTAATTTTTTATAATATATTACTACATGTAAGTTTTAAAATAAACTAAATAAAGAAAAAAACAAGAAGGACAATTCTGTCATTTTATATTACTGAAATCAAATTCTGACATGTCTGCAAACCAAACATAATATGGAATTAGATTCCAATTCCATTTTCTACCAACCAAACAGAATATGGAATTGGATTCCAATTCCTACAGATTCTAATTCCTTCACAGATTCAAATTCCCTCATAAACATTCCAGCGAACCAAACACCACCTTGTAGTTTAAGCACTTATTTTGTATTTAAGCCTTTAAAATATGAAGTAAATTTATTAAATTTTATTAATCTTGTGCAAGTAAAAGGCATTATATATTTAAAGATAACTCACAACCATTTGACATTAGACACTCACACCATTGACATTCTTTATGCTCGAAACCTGTGATTTCAAAGATTAACAACAATTTATTTACCACTATTATCGCTTGGTTTGTGATTAAAATACGAAGTAAATTTACATTGAATAGATTAGGACTATAATTTCAAAATTCTAAAAATCAAAAAATAAAATAAAAATGATCAAATCAAGGTATAAGTACTAAATATATATAACATACATATATACTAAGGGACTATATGAAGCAAATGATGTAAAAAGTAAAAAAGAAACGCGGAGTTTTGCCAACTGAAATAGGACGCTGTCACCCAAGAAAACCCCAAATCCGGTAACCTAGGTGCATTTTAGCAGAATACCCTCTTAAAATGAAATTACAATAAAACCCTTGAGAATCTCATAACCTGAACGTTAAAACCGCCCCATCCAACCTTTTCCCTCACTCCCATATGATCTATCATATGACGAAAACTCTCTCTACGCTTTCCCTGCGATTGGCATAGCAAAGAAGATACCTACCGGCGGCGGCGGCGGCAAAAATAAACACAAATTCTTTAAAGCAGTTGAAAAATAAAGAGGAAATCGAAAATTTTCATTGGGAATTCAGAGAGAAAAAAAGCTTTTGTTTTTATTTTTTATTTTTCTTGGTGTTGAAAGATTGAGCTCGCTCTGTGATGCGATCAATGGTGTGTTCTGGTGATAGAGAGACGGAGATGGGACCCCCGAGATCCAAACCTCTTCATAATTTCGACCTTCCCTGTTTAAAGTGGGGGAATCGGAGATATCTCACGTGTAAGAAACTCGACGATGCTTCTAACGCCACCGCAACAGCGGCCTCTGGCGTCACCGATCAATACCAGCATTGTCGTCGCCGTGGTTTCGTCCAAAGGCGCCGATCTCCCCCGTCGAAGGTTGAGAGTTTGGTGGTTGGTGGAATGCGGCGGCGCGAATCGGAGTCGTCGTCTCCCAGCAGCAAGAACACCGATTGTGCGAGGGAGCAGCGGTTGAGGATACCGAAGGGAGAGCCGGTGGCGGCGGGAATCGAGGCAGTTAGGGAGAAGATCATGAAGGATCTTAAAACGGTGGCGGATGAGATCAAAGTTGCAATTTTTAGAGACGAAGTGTCCGGGGACGACGACGCGGACGATGATGATGAAGAATTCAAAGAGCCTAAAAATAAGCAGAAACTTGAAGAGAAAGAGAGGGAAGAATCACCTGCGGTAGAGGTGGAGCAGAGGCCGTGGAATCTTAGGACAAGACGTGCCGCGTGTAAGGCTCCGATTGACGGAGAAGTAACTAACTACAATTATAGTTCTCCGATGAAAAATGATGTGTTTCGGTCACCAAGAATAAGAGACAATGGACCGTCGTCGGCATCGGCGTCGGCCGCCGCCGATAAGAAAAGGCCCCGACCAAAATTTTCGGTGGCGCTATCAAAGAAAGAGATCGAGGAGGATTTCATGGCCATGGTTGGTCACCACCGTCCCCCGAGAAGGCCAAAGAAACGAACGCGTAACGTTCAGAAGCAATTGGATGTAAGTTTCTTCTCTTTCTTCTTTTCAAACTTTTACTTTTCCGATTGTTTTTGATGTCTTCCGTTATTTTTTTATATTTGTGTTGATTTTTTGTTTTGGTTATAGTACTTGTTTCCTGGATTGTGGCTGACGGAGGTAACGGTGGATTCTTACAAGGTCCCGGAGTTGGTTGAAAACGGCAAGGTAAATTTTCTTTATATTATTTGTCTTTTTTAATTCAAAAAATTTGGGACCTTTTATCTCTGTTTCTGATGATTTCTCAGCAACCAAACAAATGAAAGAAATGGGTTTTATTAAAGATCTCTCATTTCTGTATTCTGACTTTCTGCAGATGTAGTAAGGGGGAGTTTCAACTTGCAACAATGTCTGAGTGATGGTAAATTGTGACTCGATTCGCATACATTGATTACTGGAGTCTTGTGAATTAGGAATTTCACACAACAAAGTTGATTTTGGCTTTTTTTTCTGGTTAGATTCAGTTGCTTTGAAATGCAATTTTTGGTTTTTATATCATCTTCTTCGTTCATTTTGTTTCTTTATGGAGCCGAATAATCTTGTACAAAGTAAGGTGACAAGTACATCTTTTTTTTAAAAAAAATAGAAGATAATGGCTCTTCTGATTACAATTGTTGAACGAAATTCAGTCCTTGTCATTTGGTTCTGCCTTCTGTTGCTGAAGTTTAGACTGCAAAATGCTCAATTGTTTCAGTTTCATGAATCTGCAGCTCTTTAAGCTCGTACACGATACTGCTGTGTGTGTTTTTTTTGCTTGTTTTGTGAGGAACGGTCATGGTTTTTAGAACCGGACCGGTTAGAGAACCGGTCATCTTATCGGTTCACTGGTTCAATCGGTCGAAACGGTTCGATCGGACGGAAGAATCGGACGACGTCATAATTATTTAAAAAATTAAATAAAAATACCAAAAATATTTAATAAAAAATAATTTTTTATATCAAAAGTCATATTCAAAGCAAGTCATAACATATATAAGTTAAAAATCATAAAATCAAGTGAAACAAAATGATTCAAATTAATTACAACATAATATTTAAGGTAAAACATATTAAATAATAAATATAATTATATAACTATAATTAAAAAATAAATTTTGGGCTAAAAAAATCATAACAAAATGATATTGTTTGGTTTAATTTTTTTTTAAAAACAATCTCATATGACTAAGAAACATATAAGAGCATTCCCAAAAGTCTAAAGAGAAAATATGAGAATAAAATAATCCCACATGGCTAAGAAACATAGAAGAGCATCACAACTAATTTCTATAAATAATAGAGGTAATTTGGCATTCAAAATCATGAAGACTTTTGGTGAGCATTGAGTGAACTATTCTTTCACTTCAATCAAGCTCGAATTTTAGGCTTCAATCGAGCTTCTAAATTTTTTTTTGAGTTTAAGTTTCAATATTATATTTCGAGTTTGAGTTGAACTTGATAATTTTTAATTAGTGAGTTTGAGTGGAGTTGAGCTTACTTTTAACGTTTTCAAGTTTGAGTCGAGCTCAACAATACTCGAGTTCGACTTGGCTAGTTTAACAAACGACGTCGTTTAAATTTTTTTTTTAAAAAAAAACAAAATTGACGGTTTTTTCTGATTTTTTCCGATTTTTTCCGGTAGCGATTTTGGCCGGTTCACTAAAAGCGGTTTAACCGGTATAGATTGAACCGGACTAGACAATAATTTTCGATTGAACCGATTGAACCGACCGGTCCAATTCAATTTTCAAAACACGGGGAACGGTAGAGAATTAAAGTTTGCATGATTCTTGTCATGCATTTGCAGATTAGAAAGAAGTTTTACCTATAAACACTATGGCTTTGCATTTGCAGATTAAGTCCATATGATAATGCATGTTAGAGACGACAATCCTTTTGAAATTCCTACACACCTTTATAGATCTGAGGTCGGTAGAGTAACAGACATGGGATTTTGGGATTCAACAAACCCAAAAAGAATTTTGTGTAGGCCCCCAAATCTCATTTAGCCTTAGGGATCAACTTGCAAAGTCATGCCGACGCCTCCTTTCATCGTTCCTAGGGATAGGATAGGGACCCTCTTGGCCCTAGGTGTGTGGGTCATTTACGCTCTTAAAGAGTCACGTCAAAGATGTTTCAAAATAATATACATTCAGAAAAAAAAATTATAGTTGTAAATAGCGTGTTGGCATCGAGTGAACCTTGGGGATTTGGTTAATTAATTACAGGAGGTATGAGCTTATGGGATCCGGATTTGCATAAGGTAAAGGTCTGCAAAATTATATAATTCGGTTAATTCGATTTATTGATCTGCCGACCAAGATCTAAAAAAATCGGGTAATTCTTTAAAAAAATTACCCGGCTGGGTCGGGTACCCAGCCCGACATTTCCTGGGTCGGGCCCGAGTCACAAAATCTAGATTTTCCGGGTACCCGGGGTACCCGGTTAGTTTTATTTTTTATTTTTTTATATATAATTATATAAAATATAATGAATTATTTATATTATAGATTATTATATTTTTTATTTCGAACTTTTAAATTTTATGTTCGGATATTAGAGTATGTAATTCGAAGTTTCGAACATTTAAATTTGTGTATATATTTTTTTAAATTAATAATTTGAAAATTAAAAATTAAAAACCGGGTATCGGGTACCCGATTACCGGGTACCCTCAAAATCCGGATACCCGATTACCGGGTATCTGTAACATCCGGGTCAAGACACGGACCGAAAAATCGCCGACTTGAAAGTTTCGGGTACCGGAAATCGGGTACCCGAAAATCCGGGTATCCGGATTTGCACACCCCTAGCATAAGGTCAGGTTTTTTATTAAGTAGAAGATGAGCGAGCAGGATTGGAATCCCACTTAATCCCTAAACAATGAAATTATGGACAAATGAAGCTAACTGATTAGTCATATGGTTGAATTTAACGTAATGACTGAATCAACCAGAATTCATATATAATTTACGTGTAACATATGAACTCAACTGATCCAACCAATGTGATTCTTTGGGACAGGCGGCAAGTGGGAGGGAAAATTAATATCCAAAAAATTGAAATGATTTGGACTGGGCTCAAGTAAAAACATGGTTGGATACTTTAAAATTAGGCGTGCTACCCCATAGATATTCATCTCTTAGGCTGATTATGTTATTAATTTCCTGGGTAAACTACGTATTTAGTCACCCAACTATCATTTTAGTTTTGTTTTGGTGACTGAACTATTATTTTTTAAATTAAGTCTAATATTATATTTTGGTTCCATTTAAGTCACTCATCGTTAAAAAATTAATGGCGATGTTGTTGAATCACCTTAAGATAATGTCATGTCATCATTAAAAAATAAAAGGGTAAACTACACGATTGGTCACTTACTTTTAATATTTGTACATTTTTTCTCGTCAAATTCAGAAAATTTAATTTTCGGTAACTAACATTATTATTTTATTAAGTTTCAGTCATTAAAATGTAAACTTCTGCTAGTTTGGTGATGTGCCATGTTAATGAAACTGCAATTCTTCTCACCCATCAATTTCATCGAGGAAAACAACATTGGTAAAGCCGCGACCGGCCGATTTGTCTCCCAAAACAAAGGTACATTGATTTGCTTCTCCATTACTAGTCTAGAGCTCATTTCCTATGTTCCATCAACTTCATAGTTAACTTTGTAAGTATTTAAAACAAATTACAAATGGGGTGAACAAGAAGCTGCAATTCTGGTACTAGGAGACGTAATTAGTGTCAAATTGGGAGATATCATATCGGCGGAAGCTCGTCTTTAGGAAGGCGATGCACTTAAGATAGATCAATTTTCCCTCATCGGTGAGTCCCTACCTATAACCAAGGATCCAGGTGACGAGGTTTTCTCAGGATCTACCGACAAAAAAAGTGAGATCGAGGTTGTTGTCCTTGACACCGGTGTTCATACCTTCTTTTGTATGGCTGCTCACCTTGCTGATAACACCAGCAATGTTGGTCACTTCCACCAAATATTATAATCGTGGTCGTGTTTCTATGTGATGATGCAAATCAATCATGTTTAGATTATGTGATAATAACCAATTGCTATCGAACACCTTAATGGAACAGGCATTGGCAGCCATTGGTAACCTCTGTATCTGCTCGATTGTTGTCGGAATGGTCATTGAGATCATGGTAATGTACCCGGTCCAACAGAGATATAGAGATGGTATTGACAATCTTTTGGCGCTTCTCATCGGAAGAATCCTAATTGGCATGCCTATTGTTTTGTCGGTAGCAATGGTTATCGGGTCTCACTGCTTGTCATAACAAGGAACCATCACTTATTAAGTAATAATATAGAAAGAAATACCCTATCTGATAGATCAATCGATGGAAAATAGTTGAGGAGATATGTTGCTACATATTATCCTTAATCTTCTATATCAACATACCTAAACCCACCACGATCAGACCGAACACTTCACCCTCTTCTCTCTTCTATATCACCATGGCCGAGACTCCTTAAGACCAAAACCGCTGGAAATTTGCTCTACCAGAACTCCGGCAACCTTCAACTGTGGTCGGGAAGCCTAGAACCTAATAAAAAAAACAAACCTTCATTTTCTATATTTACCCTTAAAGCGCCCCCCCATAACCCAGACGAGACCCTTAAAGCCCAAGGGTACCCTCAACTTCCGACCACTTTGCTCCTCCCCGTTGAAGTCGGCTCCGATGAGGAACTCAGGCCACCCCTATACTGTTTCGAACCTTTCTCTTTTTTTCTATTTGTTTTCAAATTAAAAAAAAAAACATTGCTTGAAATGAAGAAATGTTAGAAATCACCTTTGGAAATGGCCTCTATTTTTTTGGAATGAAAAAATGAAGTTCTTTGAATTGCTTCTCTTTGTCAATCGAAGGAAATCCCCTTGCTACAATCTGATTAGGTTTTATAACCCAATTTTTTACAGTTTAATTGAATGAAAAAAATGGAAATGACATTCCCCCTCTTTTTCTGTTTTTACTATTCTCCTTTTATTACCAATAACAGATTGATTCTCTTCAGGGTGCATACATTACTAGAGCTTGGGCCACCTGAAATTGCATAGCTGGAATGGACGGTTGGAGGCGTTGGGAGCTTGCTGGCATTGCTTCCCTGTTGTGCTACTGGAAAGTTCTGGAAAGTGCTGAAATTCTCTGGGGAAGCTTGGGCAACGACTGAAGCATTGAGAACCCTAGGGTTTGGTATCTCTCAAATCAGATTCGGATATGGGCTAGATAGTGGGCCCGTTATTTTGGTTTTGGTGGTGTTGAACATAAAAAATGGGTCTGGGTTGGATTCAATTGTAAATGAGCTATGATGATAAATTAATTGGATTATCGTAAATGAGTTAATTTGGGTTACCCAATGTACAAACGGGCTTGTTGGCTTAATGGGTTTCAAGTTTGGGTATTGTAATGGGTTTTGGAATTGATTTGGTTTTTTTTGTAATGTGGACTTTGATGGACTGTTTGGATTAAATGTTTTGAGTTTCTAAAGGCTTAATAAAAACTGAACTCTTATAACCCAAAATGAGTAATCAAGATTATCAAGCTCAAATCCAAGTATTTAGAAGCCCTCGAACCATTTTTGCCCATGCCACCAAAACTCCTCAACACTCTTGCTGATCAAATGCAAAGCTCCGTGAATATTTTCAACCAAACCACCAATTTTGATCTCCCCGAAATTCAGTTTTGGCTACCCAGAAAAAATTAGGGTACAACAATAGCTCTTTATCTTTCCTTAGTACGATCGAGTGGCTTTAATTTGCTTTTAAAGCTTCTATCACAGTATCTTCCACAAGTTACTCTCATGTTTTCATGGTTAAATACATGTAAAAATATTTAAATAAATGCATAATGTAGCAACGTGAATGCACATGTACCAAAATATCAATGCAAATGTAAATGCAAAATGCAAATGCAACAAAAGTATTATTCCCGAAAATAACTATTCCTAGAACAATTCTTGAATAACTAACAATCTCTAAGGACTATGAGAAAGAGAAAACCAAATATTATAGATAAAATCTAGTCCATCTTCTAGTTGTTCAACTCCTACGAGTAGTTGGATGTTTTGTCGTTCTTTGACAGACTTTGGCACTTCAAAAATCTTCAGAGCTTCTACTTACTCTCCTATAACGACGGTTTGTCAAGGTGGTTTGCAAACTTTAGCTACTACCTTTAGTGTTGAATCTTCTTGAATCCAACTTGTCTTCTCAGTAGGTAGAATGCCTCTGATTCATGTAGCTTTTTCTTTGTCCACGAAGGAATCTTTGAAATTCTATCTAACCCAACAAAAGACATCATCGTTTTAAGATCCTTCTAAATTACCAAATATTTCAGAGATCAATACCTTTAATGAGATGTCATCTTCATGCAAAAATGAAAACACGACAAAGCACACAACAAGACAAGGAAATCAAGTTAGTAGAAATAATAATCGAAGAAATGTCAACTGGAAAAATTAATAATTAAATGCAACTCATAAATGAAGTTACAAACAAAACACACAAATGAGATTAAAATTCTAACCACACAAGTTCTAGTTCTCGTAGGTTATCCACATGGCTCTAGAGGGGTAGGCTTACTAAATTATCTATATGAAGTTTGGTTCTAAAAAAGTTTCCCAAACTATCCTTACAACTTATTAAGTTTAATAAAAACTTCGAATCTGGCCATTACAGACTTTGCGAATCGAATTCAGTTTAGGGGATCACATCACCAAATGTATGTCAAATAATTGATATTCGAACAGACACTTAGAATGATTTCTAGATGTACTTTACCAGACCTACACGAGATAGACCAATGTTCCTCGGTGGTGTGACGTTTTCCCTTAATTAAGTAAAATGAGACAAAGCTCGGGTATAGAGCTATGATATGCAACAATTCTAAATATATATTCAATCAAGTAAAAACTTTAACCATAGAGAAAATATTTATCATTTTTTAAAAGAACATAATGAATTGTAAATTAAATAAGTTCGAAATCAAAAATTTCCAAATTCCAAATATATGGTAATCGACTTGTGGCTCGATTCTCAATTTTTGTTTTAAAAAGCAAAAGTCCCCAACGGAGTCGCCAATCAATCGCAACAGATCATTCGGGGGAAAAACCAAGTAGTTACGACGATGGGTTTTTTTGAAAGGATTTTGTGAAATGTTGGGAGTCGCCACTAATCATTTTTAAGGTGCAATTGGACCACCTAAAATCGAATAATTTTAATAAAACATTTTATTTTATCAAAATTACCAAATTTTGGTCTATGAAAACCAGAAATTAGGTTTGAGAGTCAGATACGTGTGGGGAATGATTAGCACCCCACAACGCCCAAAAATTGATACATAGTCGATTACCCTATATTTAAAAAATTAGAAATTTTGAGTTTGAGGTTTTATTTAATTTAAAAACCATTATGAATGCCAAGTTTGGAAAAGGATGTTTGCTTACTAAGACCAATAATGACCACCATCGAGCATTTAATGCGAAAGCTTCGTTATTGATCCAAGTAAATGAACATTGTCTTAAAGTTTTAGAAATCATGATATAGAGTTTTGAAAATGATGTCGACTTATTTCGGGAATTAACAGTGGTCACCCTCTAAGCATAAAGCGGAGAATACACTATTAATTCCTTGATAAAAGAACCTTGCCTTATTATTTTTAAAATCAAGAAGCAATCAAACATCCATTTAAAAAACCTAATTATGCTAGGTGGGTTAATTAAGGCAATTCCTAACTTAAAGTGTCAAATTATGAAGATTAAAGAACCTAGAGGACTAAACTTAAAATTGGAGGCTCTAATATTTATCCAAATTTTTTTAATCATTTAATGAATCGAATAATCAAAATGAACCCTCGATCATTTTAATGCGAGAGCCAAATCGAATTATTCCCTAAATTAAGGGACTAAATTAAAAATAAGGCTAAAGTGAAGGCTCTTGTAACCCCTCAGACCAATGCGAGTGACCTGATCAGATCCTAGGTGTCACATTAGGGCCATCGGAGTGACCCACCATAAAATCTCGGAAAAATTTAAAAATTTTATTAACACATGTAAAAATCATAAAATCAATTTATAAATACAAAAGTAAAATTTATTAATATTCAGAATAAAGTAGATTTCCAGACTCAGATATAAAAACAAAATACAACATACATGCCCCTAAACACATACACCGTACTCCACAAGCAACGCCGGGGAATCTCCCTTACCGATGTCGATAGTTGCATAGGTTTGATCATTTTAACATGAAAATGTGAGTAACAGAGTGAGCTTTGGGAAGCTCAGTAATACATAACTACCAGATGATGTTGAAGAACATGTAGATAAATAGAAAGCCATAACATTTACTTGTTGATTCAGATGTATACATGTTTTCATAATGAGTTGTGGTTCCACTGGTATCTCAAATCGTAAAAGGCAGGAAACTTTCCATTAAGAGTAAACATTCGGAGGATTAGGTTCAGGAGGTCAGAACATGGTGTCTAGTATGTTCCCACAAAACTAGTGAAAATATATAGATCTTTTTAAAACGGTAACGATTTAAAACATGTTTTCAAAACCATAGTAGTCCCTCCAACCGAACGTCATATGCAGCTCCTCAGATCTGCATAACCTAAGGGAGCACCTTGGGGCCTAAGAGCCTTCCCAAGAAATATTATCGGGGCCTCAGAGCCTACCCAAGGGTCGCCTTAGATCCGTAAGGAATTACCAGTCGGTGCTGAACCTATAAAAGGAATTACCAATAGCGACTGAACCTGATAGAGATAGGAATTACCAATAGCGACTGAACCTGCTAGAGATAGGAATTACTAGTCAGTGCAGAACCTATAAAAAGAATTACCAGCAACGAATGAACATACCAGAGTCTTCATACCAAATCCCCGAGTACCCAAAATAAAACATTTTCAATCAGTAACCAGAGTATCAGAAATCAGACCAGAGATCAGAACAAAAATTAGAGAAAACATCCATGTGATCAGGAACACACTAGAGGTTCCAAATATTATTCGGAGGTACTAGATAATCTTATAGGGCAAGGAAATAATGATCTTCATTATACCAATAGATTACCAGAATTTAGGATCACTATTAAAAGAATTTATTAGCTGACAAGATCATCTGTTATTCAGAACATGATTTATCAGGATCATATAGTATTCATATATTTTTCGGAGACATTAGGAGACCAGAAAGGTATTCAGAATCCTTTGCATATGGGTTACTCGTGTTTTCAGATGTAACAGGAGTGATTCCATTTTTTAGAAAATCAGAGACAGTTTGG